TCAATGCGAAAAAAGAATAGTACTGGTTGGGGTTCATCGTGCCAGTGCTTGCTTTTGCATACTTTTGCATTGATTCATTAAAACAGTTGTGTTCTTCTTGCTAAATGATCACGTCAAGAACAAGTGGAATAGTGATCCTGGCTGACAAGCTCTTTGCAGGCACGAGAGGCAGGAGCAGTATCTATCAATCAAGTTGCCAAATACTCTTCAGACTTGGGCGAGAAGAGTGAACGTCACTAATATCCCCATCATCCATGCATGACATAATTCGCCACCCAAAAAGCACGAGTTATTATTGATGGCTTGGGTCTGGCTTCACTCGGTCACTCCGGGTCAATATGATATCCTTCTACATTCTAGCTTGCTTCCCAATATAGACATTCAAAACTTATGCGGCATACTAACGAAGTTGCTTGATGATATGCGCCTCATGCTGGTATCTTTGCATTATACGGAATTAAGGCATTATAGCATCATCGCGCTGGTGTACCATGGTGTACCTTAATTTGTTCCGTTGATATGCGTTTATATTGGTGCGCTCTCAGCTCCCATGATTCCCTTCTAGGCTTAGACTTGTTCTCGTTTGCTGCGGCCTTTCTGGTCCGTGGCTGGCTGTGGTAGGACAATGACGGGCATAGTGCCCCAATTTGAACGTACAAACGGCAGGTTTTGACGGAGACCCACGCGTCGCAGGTAGCATGGTATCCCAGGTATTGCACTTTTACCTGGGACCAAAAGCTTTGGTGACAAACTGTAGCCTCAAACTGGCCAAAATAATTAAGAACCAACTGCAGGGTTCCAAGTTGGCGTTCGCAACTGCAGCACCGTGGCCCGTGTGCAGTTTCTGGAAGTCTTTGCAGATCCAGTCTTAATTTCGGCGTCCTCCAGTGAGGCTTGGTCCCTTTCTTTGGCACGCCTGATTTTCCAGCTCCGATTTATATTGCAGCTGTCTTCACTGTTCACATCCCTCTTTACCTGGCCATTTTTTGGATCTCATATCGATTGCAAATCAAAAATCATAGGCCAACATTGCTTGAAACTCGCAATCACGTTTTGTCTTGATGGACATCCCCATGCTTGGTTGGCTCGTTCACTTGCAGGATCTTTATTTGGTCAATTTCCATCTTTGCTGACTGAAACCGTGATTTTGCAGGGTAATTATATATATCCATATATATCCTATCATATCATGTCCTGCAGTTTTCAGCATCAAATCTTTTCATATTTTCTTTGACCCTCCTGTAAGCAAACCGGGCGCGCTGAAAATCCTCGCGAAAATACCTGTTGAGTCTCAGATTAACAACAGAGGTGTTCCAAAGAGAAACGTAACATTTTCCAAATTCCTTTTTGAAGGGCTTATTGGCCACCAAATGTTGGAGCCCCTGTAGGGGGGGATTGCGGCAGCTCCCGCTGCTCCACCCCCATGTTTGGCTCTTCAAATTCCCAATGGTTTCTTGGTTCACCGAATTGCTCTTGCTACTGTCATCCTTACAGACCCATGTCTCCCAATATATAGGCTCCCGTATGCTTCAATCCCATTTATTGCTCAAATCCAATTTTTTCCCCACATCTTTGTGTGGGGTTCTTGTTTTTGGTTCTGTATCCCGCTGTCCGCCGTCCGCCTCCTCCTCCTCCCGTCGTCCTCCCGTCGTCTCACACACAACTGCTCACACTCACAAACCTTGTCATCACACAACTTGTCATCACACCACTTGCTCACACACTTGTCACACCACTTGTCATCACTTGCACCACTTGTCATCACACCACTTGCTCACACACAACTTGTCATCACACAACTTGTCATCACACAACTTGTCATCATACCACTTGTCATCACACAACTTGCTCACACACCACTTGTCATCACACCACTTGCTCACACACAACTTGTCATCACACAACTTGTCATCACACAACTTGTCATCACCAACTTGCATCACACACACTTGTCATCACACCACTTGTCACACACAACTTCTCATCACACAACTTGTCATCACACCACTTGCTCACACACAACTTGTCTCACACCACTTGCTCACTCACACACTTCTCATCACACCACTTGCTCACACACAACTTGTCATCAACACCACTTGCTCACACACAACTTGTCATCACACACTTGGTGACATCAACTTGCATTGTTGCGTGGCAGGCGTGGAACTTGGAGACATCCACCTTCGTTTCACGTGGCAGGCGTGGCACTTGGTGACATCAGCTTGCACTTTTGCTTGGCAGGCGTGGCACGTATGGCACTGGGCTGGCTCCGGTGGCGCGCTTGGGTTGGAGTGGAACGCTGGGACGCCGCAGCTGTTGGTGTGGCAGGCGTGGCACTTGGAGACATCCACCTTCGTTTCACGTGGCAGGCGTGGCACTTGGTGACATCGACTTCCACTTTTTGCGTGGCAGGCGTGGCACATATGGCAGTGGGGTGGCTCCGGTGGCGCGCTTGGGCCGGAGTGGAACGCCGGGACGCCCCGGCTGTTGGCGTGGCAGGCGTGGAACTTGGAGACATCCACCTTCGTTTCACGTGGCAGGCGTGGCACTTGGTGACATCGGCTTGCACTTTTGCTTGGCAGGCGTGGCACGTATGGCACTGGGCTGGCTCCGGTGGCGCGCTTGGGCCGGAGTGGAACGCCGGGACGCCGCGGCTGTTGGTGTGGCAGGCGTGGCACTTGGAGACATCCACCTTCGTTTCACGTGGCAGGCGTGGCACTTGGTGACATCGACTTCCACTTTGTGCGTGGCAGGCGTGGCACGTATGGCACTGGGCTGGCTCCGGTGGCGCGCTTGGGCCGGAGTGGAACGCCGGGACGCCGCGGCTGTTGGCGTGGCAGGCGTGGCACTTATGGAGACATCCACCTTCGTTTCACGTGGCAGGCGTGGCACTTGGTGACATCGACTTCCACTTTTGAGTGGCATGGCACGTATGGCACTGGGCTGGCTCCGGTGGCGCGCTTGGGCCGGAGTGGAACGGCGGGACGCCGCGGCTGTTGGCGTGGCAGGAGTGGCAGGAGTGGCTGGCGTGGCACTTGGAGACATCCACCTCCGTTTCACGTGGCAAGCGTGGCACTTGGTGACATCGACTTCCACTTTTGCGTGGCAGGCGTGGCACGTATGGCACTGGGCTGGCTCCGGTGGCGCGCTTGGGCCGGAGTGGAACGCCGGGACGCCGCGGCTGTTGGCGTGGCAGGCGTGGCACTTGGAGACATCCACCTTCGTTTCACGTGGCAGGCGTGGTACTTGGTGACATCGACTTCCACTTACTCACACTTACTCTTCCACACACAAATTGCTCCACACCAATCTGCACCATCTCTTTTCTCTTTCCTGCTTTCCCCATGCCATCTTTACCTTTCTTTTGCTGCTTGTTGGAAGAAGTTGACATGTGGGGTTATCCGGTCCTTTAATTGGGCGTGAAAAGGGTGGCTAAACCCAAGACAAGGCTGGGCTCAATCAAATTGACGTGATTCAATAAAACCCTTGAAACCATGTGGATAAATTACAATACTTCACCAGCCTGAAACAAAGCCATTTCGGAATGATTCACCTCGTGGCCATTGTCTATGGTGAAGTCACAGTGAGGTCGTAAAAAATCAGCAAGACATATTGAATATGTGACTCATATGACATGTTGCTGGTTAGAAATTATCATCATACAACCCCCATTCATATCCAAATAAAACCAAATTCAAAAAGGTCGTTAAATTCATGCATATGTTTCTATCAAGTTGGTGTTATCGAAGTTTCATTCATCCCGACAAATTATCCCATTATCATCCCATTAACATGATTCAACATTCGCCATATGAAAGGCAAATAACTGGTGACTCCTCGTTCTATCCAATTTTCATGCTGTTAAATCATGTTAAATCCAGGTTAAAATCCCATCATCATAAATAATTAACCACTAATTAACCATATTAATTAATTATCTAATGATTATTGCCATTGTTGTTCCATTAAATAACAATCTGGCTGGTGGTTTCAACCTCTCTGAAAAATACGAAAGTAAGTTGGGATTGTTGTTCCCAATATATGCAAAAGTAATCCAGTTATGTTCCAAACCACCAACCAGCAATTTGTACCCAATTGAATACGGCTTTGACACACGACGGGCGGCCCCAAGACATCTGCCACACCCCGCGACGCCGACCTCTACAAGCGACGTTGCGCGGCGCGGAAGCGGCACCGACGCCGACCTCCACGGATTCAGAAGATTCCACAAGTGTTTCTGGCACGTGTGAGTTTAAGTTTAATCCCTTCTTAGAGTAAACCTCTTGCAATCAAAATCGCTTTGTTTGGCCTTTGTCCGTTTTGTTAGGCTTTATGATTGGGTTGTCAGCTGCACCCTTGCACACCTTAGACAAAAACAGTATTGAACCGATCGCCCCAAATCAGGTCCCATTCCTGTGCGAAGCACTGATCCTGAGCCAGCGTCCTTTAAGATTCTCGTTAATGATTCACAACGTCGTTGTTATAAGACAACAAATCAACACAAATCATGTAGCTTAGTACATAAATGCTACAGCCCTATGTTTTTCTACAACATTAGCATAGCTATAGTATGTATATGTGTGTGTGCTACCCATCAGGGATCTCCTTCCCAGAGCAACTTTGGTAACTTCCATGACCTGTCGGCGTGCTGTACAGCCTGGCCGCACGTATGGACAGCTGTGGTACCGGCGCCTCTGATAACGCAATGTGGACTCTCCAAACCTGTTGTCATATTCGAGTGGGCAAACAATATGGTTTCCACAACCTTTACAAAATTCAAATATCTTACATTGTCAAACATTGTCGTGATCTTGGTGTGTCTTAATAGTTTTACCATGTTTTACCCTCCGCTAAACTAATAGACTATAGCTAGGAAATACCCATTAGTCAAGGGGCAAATCATTTTCTATAAATGGGCCATGGCTTCCATGGCCATGTCAGTTTACCGGAGGGTATGGCATGTACCCAATGTACCCCGGCACCGCTCAGGCCGCAGGTTGCTTTTCGTCCTCAGCCTGCTACGTCCTCTTCAGTAAGATTCGCAGCTAAGACTTCGTAGGCTTCCGCCAGGCGACGAAACGTTTCCTCGAAAAATTGCGATGGGAGCCGGTTTGTTGATAGGGATGGGATTGATAAAGGGATACCCTGCCAAAAAAAAGAGATTGAATGTGTGCGTGTGTAACATGCATATGTAATTTATATACACATAAATGTGTGTGTATGCGTCATTTCGTGTAACGTTTCCCATCCCCGTCCAAAGAAAAAAAAATACCACAAAAACAAAAAAACATAAAATGTGTAGGGCATGGTTCAAGAATTGTACCACATTTTGGTCTTACTACACCCTGGGCAAAATCAAATTATGTTGAAAGATTTAGAGATGCACTTGAACCCATTACAGTTCCATGTTGGACCTTTGAGGTATGTGGGGAGTTCAACCCATGATCCGAGTTTCTCCGATTTTGATATTCTAGAATCATATGGCATCATCATGCCATTGTATGCAATGGCATCAACATGCACAAATAAACAACATGAGAGTAAAACAATATGAGTCAACATGATTTAAGAACAACTATAATTATAATAGACATATGTCCATATATGTCCCATTATTATCCATTAAACTATCATGTTTCTGCCTGCTTTCGGACAATGATCAATTGTGAAACCATAAAAAAAAAAACACACGTCCTTGCCACACGTCCGAGGCATCACCCGTCGAGGCTCCGCCGCGGCATCGGGATCTTCGGGGTTCTTGTCCGGGTGGTAGATCAGCGCCAAGCGCCGGTAGGCTTTGCGGATCTCACGTGGTTTTAGCGGTACCGGATGGTCGTCCAGCCGGCAATAGAAGGGCTATAGAAGGGCTATATCTGGTTGGTATATGGAAATAATATGAAATAATATCTGGTTGGTGGTTGAGCCCTACCTCTCTGAAAAATTACTCTACTTCGTGTGATCCCCACCATGACATGTCAGGACGTATATTTGGACATATATTTAGTATATTCTGACATCCTATCTGACATATATTCTGGCATATATTCTGGCATATATCCTGACATTCCACCTGGCATTCTATCTGGCAGTCTATCTGGCATTCTATCTGACATATTTTCTGACATTTCATCTGACATATATTCTGGCATTCTACCTGTCATTTATTCTGACATATATTCTGGCATTCTATCTGACATATATTCTGGCATATATTCTGGCATTCTATCTGGCATTATATCTGACATATATTTTGGCATTCTATCTGACATATATTCTGGCATTCTATCTGGCATTATATCTGACATATATTTTGGCATTCTATCTGACATATATTCTGGCATATATGTTGGCATTCTATCTGGCATTATATCTGACATTCTTTCTGGCATTCTATCTGGCATTCTATCTGGCATCCTATCTGACATTCTATCTGGCATTCTATCTGGCATTCTTTCTGGCATTCTTTCTGGCATTCTATCTGGCATTCTATCTGGCATCCTATCTGACATTCTATCTGGCATTCTATCTGGCAGTCTATCTGACATTCCTACATGAGGTCCGGCAGGGAACACTGGGCGCGGATGGTCGCGGTTGAGGTCCGGCAGGGAACACTGGGCGCGGATGGTCGTGGTTGAGGTCCGGCAGGGAACACTGGGCGCGGATGGTCGTGGTTGAGGTCCGGCAGGGAACACTGGGCGTGGATGGTCGTGGTTGAGGTCCGGCAGGGAACACTGTGGATCGCGGGTCGCAGTTGAGCAAGGACGACAAGGATGACAAGGAGGACGAGGAGGAGGAGGACGAGGCAGGAGGAGGCGGAGGAGGAGGAGCAGGAGGAGGAGGAGCAGGAGGAGCAGGAGGAGGAGGAGGAGGCAACTGACATAAAATCTAACAACCCTCACCTGGCAGGTGGGGAATATATGAGTTCGTCAGTTGGGATGATGGAATTCCATGAAATTCCCAATATATGGGAAAAAATCCAAACCACCAACCAGTTTTGATCGTGAATTCCATTGTTGGGATTTGTTGGGTTCATATCCTTGAAAAGCGAGTCCCCGAAAGTTAAGAGTGGAGGCAGCAGTGACAAGTGACAATAGACATAGATTAAATGACGGGATGTTCAGGGAATTCAGCCAAACCAAAATCTTTCTGATGTTAGAACATAAAATCAGCCCCTCCCCCCCAAAAAAAGAATCCGTTGCAAATGGGAGATTGTCATGGATTGTCTTTTGTCGTGCTCTTCGTAAACCACAGCGTATCCAAATCTATCGCCCAAATCTGGTTGTTGCGTTCACTCATTTGTTTCATATTATCTTATATTCAATCATATACTGTAAGAATAGGATGATCCCCCTTTGACGAGCATATTTTTCAAGGGGGTTGAAACCATCAACAAGTGGACAATAAGTTCGTTTATAAAGCCCATTAGTTATTTAGTTATAGATATATCATGTTTCCCTACCGATCCCAATACTGACCGATGCGTATTTGTTTCCCTCCGGTCATGAAACGTGGCTTGCTGGATTTTTTCACCATATTTCAATGATTTTCCCAGCAACTTGCATTTAGTACAGGATAGGGCCCCCAAGATAGCGTTCAGTTGAGATATAAGTGGCTTAACTATGGTTTATGGTAGATACAACTATATAGATAACTATATAAGCATAAACAACTATATATAGTTCATGGGGATTTTAAACCAACTTATAACTGGGGGGCACCATCCTGTACAGAGGTTCCACCCAGGATCCACACCGAGACCCAAATCATTCCCTTCCGCCTCGCTTGCGTTGGCGCCTTCCTCCAATCCCAGCAGCTGATAATGCGCCCGCAGCACTGCGCGCGGTGGCCGCACACGACGGGCCTCGTCAAATCCAGGAGTTCTCGGCCGGATGGTTGTGAAAAAAACAATGTTTGATAAGTAAATCATCTCTGGTTGGTGGTATACCTACCCCTCTGAAAAATATGAATTTGCCAGTTGGGACGATGAAATTCCCAATATATGGAAAAATAAAAGCCATGTTCCAAACCACCAACCAGATCTAGAAAATTTGATTTGTGTGCAATTTTCATGGCTAAGTGAAATGACCAAAGGGTGACTTAGTGTTATTTTTCTTGGTTTCTAGTGTGAATCGGTTCAATATTCAGATTTCCGTTTTTTCATTTTCAATAATCTCATTTTTCAGGTTTTCCATAGTTATACATAATTGTCTTGTTGACGTTTGCTTCTCTACTATCCCACCCCTCTCACCAAAAACCCTCAAGAAGTAAGAAGGGAGCCCGAATAAAAACCTTATCATATATAGCAAACCATCTAAAAAAAGGAAATGCAATTCAAATGAGAATTGGCTTTTCTATCCCTTTTGGGCGTTGCGATGATACACCAGGCTGGGGGGTGATACGTCTCGCACCTCCTGGCTGTGGCCAAAATGGGGATGTCATATGAAAAGCACGGGGATATGATCCAAATTGATCAAACAAAAATGTTGACCTGATCTTAGATACCAGAGGGGCGAAAGGTGAAAATACTGGTCTTGTGCTGGGTCCTGGATATACGCAACTGGTTGCCCAAAAATATGGTTTCACCAAACCAAAGTTTATCCAGGTGTTATTTGCGCTTAGAGACGTTCATCAAAAATACTTTCTGGTAATTTGGTACATAGCTATTGAAAATGGCCATAGAAATAGTGAATTTTCCCATTAAACATGGTGATTTTCCATAGTTATGGGACAGTTTACCAGAGGGTTCAACCTGAGGCCCTGACCGTAGCTTTCTTTGGGCGCAAGAAACCATTGGAATAGAGGTACATCTCCACATCCTGCAACCGCAGCGGTTTATCCAAGCAAAACATGGGTGAACTCCGTGCACTAGAAAAATATACAAACACGGAATCCGTAACGAATGTAAAAACTAGTATAACTGGTTGGTGGTATACCTACCCCTCTGAAAAATATGAAAGTCAGTTGGGGTTATATATATATATATATATACAATGATAGACATGGATACAAACACAGATTCCTTCACACGCCATAAAGAATGTATGGGACACCGGGATCCAATGACCTCACAAATCGGCACATCTGGCGGCACGGGCCACACATGGGTCAGCGGTCAGCAAAGATGTGAAAAAAAAAACGTAGTGACTAGTGTTCTAAGGGGGTTATCCCATGTATAAATGGGGTATAACTATGGCACTAACTATAAAATATATAAAATGGTACTACTGGTTGGTGGATTTAACCATCTTAAAAAATATTAATCAATGGGAAGGATTATCCCATATATCATGGAAAAAATGTTCCAAACCACCTACCAGTGTTTAATTGGATGGCATTTTAGTAGCAAATTATACTATTTGGGGGGTTACTCCCTAAGTTACCAACCAAGATTTAATCTTTTCAGGGACCGACATGATTGGTGAGATTTTGCGTTAACGTTATCGACAGCAACATGCCAAATTGGCACCGCCAAACCCGCCTGCAAAGACCACTCCTGGACCACGCACCCAGATGAGTCGGGAACTTACACTCCCAAACTAGTGGTTTCGCCACTCACCAAAAGATTGCAAGTCATTGGGTAGGACAAACTAATATCAAACATTAAACTGTTTTGAAACCAAAAACAAGTAACAAACATGTTGCATATTTTTCCATAAATGGATGGTATGCACCATCCCTACATGGTAGGCGTATTCTTGTTTATATGAATGATGTTTTTGCTCACCTCAAAAAAGGCAGCATTTCTCTCACAACGGAGGCTTTACCAGTTACCTGGGAGTTTGGGGCAACGATCATCCACATACTTCACAAGTGGCGCATTCTTTTGGACAGAAAAAACCTAATGACTACTAATAATTCGTCATATTTCGTCCAGAAATCATGGGGGAATACCATGTGCCAAAATACAGCATGATAGGTTTGTGCCATATATGTGATGTGAAATAGTTATCCATGCCACGTTACATGGACAAAATCATCCCACGAAAAAATATACACAGTTTACGCCTTACGCACAAGTGGATTGATCTACCCATATAGGTGGCCCAGCCATGCCCGACCCATGTCAGTACCAAGTGTCTTCCATCTCTTGCACGAACTTCCCCGAGAAATTGGGATACCTCGGTTTTTTTCGAACTTTTTTTCTCTTGCCATTGGGTTTTGTCATTTGGTTGGCCACATTGCAACTCAGACATTGCACACAAAACTTTTCAACATCAGTCATCTTGCTATCATCCGAAACCATATAAAAAACATGAAATCTTCAGGTCTTGGCATGGCCTACCTGCTTGTTAGCAACGCCCCTAGTCTCCACCATCCTGCGGGTCCCAGATGCTTGGCGCAAACTTTTCGTACTCGTTCACTCATCCAGCTCGGGTATGAATCCCCGCCGTCCTGAGATTCCATGATCCCCAAGTCGTATACCAGGCGGCCACAGCCATAGTAATTGATACCCAAAAACACTCAATTTGCTTCCAAGAAACAGGTAGTTTTGAAATAACAACCTAATAAATCTCAGTAATTCTTCCTACGTTTTCATTTATGTTCATTTTCATACATTTTTCCCGTGTTTCGTGCGTCAACTGAGAGTTCAAAGGGTGACCCTAAATGGAATGAGTAAGTAAGTTAGTTCACCCTAGTTAAACATGGGTTACCCTTACTTATCCCATCTTATCTCATATATAGCTAGGGATATAATCTAATGTCTGACGGGTAAATAACAAACCACACATTGCTGGGAATGGTAATCATACCAGACTACTTATAAAACAATGATTTGGGGAATGTTTTATATGGCATTGTTTTACCCACATTAGTTCGATATATCTATGTTTATTATTGTTGGTTTTCATATGTTGTAAGTATACATATATATATATATTTATTTATTTATAAATATATATATATATGTATGTGTGTGTTTTTGACGTAATAGAACCTCCCTATTAACTATAGGTCTACCACATATTCAAGCCACATTATGACATTACTTCGCTGCCCGGGCTGCACCTCCGGCACCTCGCCCGGCTCTGCACTCTTCTCCTCGCGGGCCGTCGCCGGCCCCATGCCACGGGAGCCGCTTGACTTGGCGGAGGCTCTCCTGGTGGTGGCATCACCCAGCAACAGTGCCGTGCATATGTGTATACATATGTATACATACTTAATAATATATCTATCCATATGCCTATATGTATGTATATATATATATATTTGTATCTAATGCAGTTATAACATGACATACTCATGACACATGGCTATTTGAAAATGGTACACGGCGCATGGTGGCAATTGAAAGCCATTGGTGGTTCAACCCATAGGTACTGAAGCTCAAGTCATCAGTGGACCCTCTAGTCTACCCATCCTCTTACATAATGCCGTATCTGCTGATGTAGAAAGGAGACAACACCAACTAAATAGTTGGTTTAAAGGAAACAGTGACAAACAACTAGCCAACCATAGTTGTTTGATGTTGCTTGATGGTTTCCAAAAGTTATGTTGCCAATGCAACGAAATTGCGGGGTCTCCCGCTCCCGAAAACTTTTGCTTCATCCAATTCATAGTAGTTATACCTTGCTGATTCCTACAGCACTGGGTATAGTGATACTTGTCAATGGCCCGGTACACAGCGAGACGGCACCCTATCAGACTCTTGCGCGGTACGGCTGATATCCAAAGCGCAAGGGCCAACAGCTGGTTCAATTGTGCTTACAAATGCCGACCCACTTGTGGCTGTGGCTCCCTTCCCCTTCATGTATAGGTCATCGTTTGAAACTCAGCGAACTGCTGTTGCCGTGGGTCATTCCACTCAAGCAAATGATCCTACTCACGGTCATCTCCCAAACTAGGACTTCTCCCCAGGTTTCTATGTTTTTGTTTGGTTTCCATATTGGAAAACTGGTTGGTGGTTTGAATCCCTCTGAAAAATATTATACAGTCAATTGGGATTATTATTCCCAGTATATGGAAACATAAAATTCATGTTCCAAACCACCAACCAGAAAAACCAGAAATTCAGGACTCAGACTCCCCAGTCCTTGGCTCCACTTTAGGACTGGCTTTGGGCTGAGGCATCACCTGGCAGAAATCCCATCTGAAGATGGATCCAACGCACAGGGAACTGACATTTACGCGTGTTACTTACTGTTATTTAAACTCTATCTACCTATCTACCTATCGATGTATCTATCCATCCATCTATCTGTGAAAAAAACAAATGCACAAATAAAGTGTGTGTAATTATATATATATATTATGTGATGAACAGAAATCACCTCCACCCAATTTTTTTTCTAAGCCTCCCCGTCCACGTGTCGGACATCGGGCCTTGAAAGACCTGAGCTGTTCCAAGAGTTCGTTGCGGCCTTGACCTGACGGGCGTTGTGGCGTTTTTTTTTAAAGGACCTACCTTGGAGGTACCAGATTTACCTCCACATGTAATGTAAGGATATGTAAAGTGATATACATATATACCTCCAAAATATTCCTCGATCTTAGTCCTTTTCCCCCGGCATAAATACGCACAAACGAACCCTCGCTCAGTGATCAGGGATAGGATGAACCCTTTGGCGATAAAAAGTCGGCTGTCGACCATGAACGGCTGTGAATGGGAATTTTCAACTGTGAACAGCAACTAGCAACGAATACCCTTCAATAAACGAACATAGCTGTGATAAAGATAAACCGCACATTTCTAGATTCAAAACCTATTGAACGTTTTGATGTTCCAGTTCGCAAAGTGTTAAACAACGCACGTATCCCCTGCGCCGTGCCTGTAGTGTTGAAATGCCTCAGCTCACACGCTTTCCGCAGCTGCTCTGTGTCCAAATGTTGCCATCGCAGTGCCTGAAAAATGAGGGGGCCAAGGAGGGTGGATGCCATTGGTCTAAGGTCTGAGGGGGTTATCCCATGTATAAATGGGGTATAACTATGGCACTAACTATAAAATATATAAAATGGTACTACTGGTTGGTGGTTTTAACCATATGGAAAAATATTAGTCAATGGGAAAAATTATCCGATATATTATGGAAAATAAAACATGCCAACCAGACTACTACGGTATGAACTTGGAGGTTCCTGTCTGCTTGGAGCTATAACAATCACGTTGCTCGCCAAACCATCTCTCTGGAGCATGGCACCAGTTTCAAGCGCTTCACCGGTGGGTCGTATCCCCTTGACTTCATGGATTCCTTGGTATGCCTGGGGAAGAATACCCTCTGGTAAACTAACAGTTTGCGAACTGGAAAATCACCATCTTTAAATTCGGTGAATCAATTATTTCTATGGGCCATTTTCAATAGCTATGGAAGAAATTACCAGACAGGTAAACGCCTGCACATATATTTTGCATATCTTCATGAAGGCCAGGTACACTCTTTCCCTGGTTGCTTTTATGTGCCACCCAGAAAATGGTGACCAAGAAATTGCAAAATCATTGGCCACCCCAGAATATCCCCAACAGTTGGGGGTTTGACTTGTAAACCCCCATTGTTGAGCATGGGCACGCAGAGTTTAGTATGTGGGTAAAACAAAAATAATCCATCCCCCCATTCCCAAATGTATGGTTTGTTATTGTTTTACCCACATTAGTTCGTATCTAACTAGTCGGTTTACGTTTACCCAGTGAACTTACTAGTTAATGCCTACGGCGCCATTAACGACCCCTGCGTTTTTGGCATTTTGTGCTGATCGGAGGCAAGTTGCTCTTGAAATTGATGCATGCACAACTGACGTCACGTCACTGGGTTGGGGTGAGGTGGGGATGTTAACGTTCATGTTAACTTGCGTCACATGCACAACTGACGTCATGTCACTGGGTTGGGGTGGGGTGGGGATGTTAACGTTCATGTTAACTTGCGTCACATGCACAACTGACGTCACGTCACTGGGTTGGGGTGGGGTGGGGATGTTAACGTTCATGTAGCTGGCCAAGAAGAGTCGACGCTGAACAACTTGCAAGGGTGAGTTGAAAAAGACGTGTTGCTCAATGACTGGTGGTCAGATGCAACTGAATTTCTCCAACAAAAGGGAAAAAACAATAATTCGTTTCAGGGGTATTGAAAATCGATGAACGTTTCACACGAAACGCAGTTTTGGTAGTAGGCCCCAAAGTAACTACGATTTGACGTTTTTATCACGTTTTTACAAAACCTTGCAAATACCATGATTTGGTGAACCAAGCATCATGGAAAATCAATGAATTACCCCGGGTCGCTAACCGCGCCGTAGCCTAGTTAATGTTATCATTATTCTGAATGGTATTGTAATCCCCTTAACTATTCAGATTGACTATGCATAATACCAGGATGAAATACTAGATGAATAGTTTTGTTTGGGTCATGCTATTATATAATGGCATTGACGTAGTTATTAAATCCATTATAATACCACCAACCATTCATTATACCATTATTAATTATGAGTAAAATAATGCCATCGTTATGAACACTAGATTATGAATAATACCATTATTTGGCCATGAGTGTTAAAAAAGAATAGGTGATGGATGATCTTAACTATTAATAATGGGTTATCCGTAATAGTTAATAATGTCGTGTATTATAATACTATGACCCGATTTCATGGATAACCATCGCTGACCATCGATGACCCGGTGACCGCGCCTGGCGAAGCCTAGATCGCATGGCGCGCAGCAGCAAGGCCGTCTCCTGCCGCTCCTCGGGCAGGGCCACCTGCTGTCGCTGGCACTCCTCGGCCAGCCCGTGCAATGGGTCCCTTAGGGATTTTCATGGGAGATTCATGGGATGTTAATATATGTTAATGGTGACTAAAAAAATATTTTAATTGTGATTTTATGGTGATTATATAATAATAAGGATTTTAATGAAGTTTAACCAACATAACTTAACATAACCAACAAAAATGGGGATATGCATGTGATGATTTACCATCTGGTAATAACGTTACATAGCTACGGAAGCCATGGCCCATGGAAAGAGAAGATTTTCCTATCCACAGCTATGTTACATTCCAAAGGGCAATGGATATTCCCATCAACTAGTAGATATTCATGGATACTTGTGGAGTTTAATTGGAATATAACTAATGAATAAAGATTTATATAATCAGCAACTAATTATAAGAGCTCTTCAACCAACAATCTAATTACGTCTCTTTGGCCGCAAAGATGGGGAGTCTAACCACCAATAAATTTCTCAACATGTTGACAAAGGCCTAACCATGAAAGAAATGGTGATTTAACCCACAAAGACTGAATCAGATTGGGGTTTGAAGCGCAAGATATAGGAAGTGAACAAAGGAAACTGGCAATGCATATGGCTACATAATCATTGACAGTTGGTTTTAAAGCCATCAAACCAAGGAAAGACATAATTTAGAACATAGTAGGGGTTGATGTCATATGATCCCTTGGAACTAGATGGAAGGTTGTAGCTGGAAATATCATTGAACTAAATGTGGGATATTCCGGCAAGCCTTGTTTGATTACCGGAAACTAACCCGTTCTCGCGAGGCTGTTTTCACATCCTTGCAACAAGATTGTCTCATTGTGCCAAGCATCTTCCCTGAGTTCATCCTCACCCATATGCTCCCAGCTCAAGTCTTGCTTCAACCTCAGATCAAGCAACATACTAGAAAGGATAGTTCATTCAATGCTGCCTGGAGCAGATTTATGCCCAGATTCATCCCACTACCGTTTTTTCAAGAAAAAACGAGCTGGACACTAAATATAACCAGAAAAACATTAAGTATATATAACCATCACATCCCCTTACTATTAAACAAAAAACATATACTGGTTGGTGGTTTTAACCATCTTGGAAAATATTAGTAAATGGGAAGGATTCTCCCATATAGTATGGAAAATAACGAATGTTTTTTCCTCTGAGTTCAACGGTGCCGGGCTGGGGCTCGCAGCGTCGGCCGTGCTGTTGCGGTCAGACGCCCCTCAAACTCTCAAGGGTTTCACCAGACCCCGTTGCTGGCACAGTAAGGTGTTTGGCCAGCACCCGTTCAACATCATTGAACTCAGTTTCAGAAAAATGGAAACCAACAGCTCCCCGAAAGCAAGCAATCCAATGACTATGTGGCCTCACTGTGCTGCAACAGAACTGCACTTCGGTGTCCTTGAGGTACTGCTGAAACATCAATCGGAAATACTTTACACGCACTGCTGCAACAGATTGCCCAGCGATGCGAGACTGCCGTGCTCCGCAGTCCATCGTGATGGACCACGGTCCTTGGTGACGCTGAAAGCTAATGTACGACTGTACGGCTGCAAAAACGAAATCCATCTACGTGGCTGCAACGGATCGCGGATGCATGAAGTCCAGCTATGTACAGCGGATGCCACGGAAAGTCCAAAGAAACGCCGGAAAGAGGGCCATTTGAGGTCAAGTCCATTGGAAGAATCCCAGACCAGATCAGGCTGCTTACGGCCCTGTCCGACAGGCCGAGGTGGCTTGGGAGCCAGATTGTCGTGGAAGAAACAGTTTGGTTCCAAAACTTACTGACAGCAACCATATGAGCTCTGATCCACTCGGCCTGAGTTCTGGCTTGCGATTGCTGGGCTGCGAAGGCATTCCACAGGGCCGAGATTGCGGGTGGTCTGGACTTGTTGGCCGCCTGAACTGCTGTTTCGGCTGCATTTTTTTCCATCGGTATACCATTAGAAGAAACTTCGGGAGGCAAAGGTTGAAAAAAACAAGCTATTTCAGTTGTATTTGTTTTGTTGTTTTTGTTGTCATTTTTTTGTGTCATTTCAGTTTTGTCTGTCATTGTTTTTTTTTCATTTTTTTTTGTCATTTCAATTTTGTCTGTCATTTTGTTTGTCATTTGAGTTGTGGTCTCTCATTTTGTTTGTCATTTTGCAGGTTGCAAAAGTTGCACTTTTCCCGAAGCATTGTCATTTTTTCTGTCATTTTTCGAATAATTTTTGATATGCTTCCATATTTTTGATAAAATTGCACCAAAATGACAAACAAATAACAAACAAATTTCAAAATCTCCACCAAATGACAAAAAATAACCCAAAAAATGACAATTTTGCAGGTTGCAAAAATGGCATTCTTCTCGAAGCATTGTCATGTTTTGTCATTTTTCTGTCATTTTTCGAAAAATTTTTGATATTTTCCATATTTTTGAGAAGATTGCACCGAAATGACAGAAACATGACCAAAAAAATGACAAAAAATGACAGACCAAAACTGAAATGACAAAAAAATGACAGGCAAAACTGAAATGCCAAAAAAAAATGACACCAAAAAAGGACAAAAAAATACAAAATAAATTTGAACCATTTCCAGGGTATGGCTCAGAGTTTCTTCTAAGGCTACCACCCGACGGCATGGGCTGTGGCATTGGTTGCAGCACGATTTTCTGCTGAATCTGCATCACCCTGATCGGCGCCACTCGCTGCGGCGCCAGAAAGATCAGAGGAGCCTGAGCCATGCTGTTCGGAGCAAAGATTTCAACACCAGCAAACTGTTGCGTACCGGTGCTGCGGACTGACAGAACTCGACGCTTGAGCCAAAATAACAAATGTTCGAAACCACCAACCAGTATAAAACATGTGGTTTAGAATGGTTTTGCAGGGGATTTGCATATTGGGACCCACCGCCGGATGGAATTCTTCCTGGGTCCCCATGTGGTTTTGGGCCTTTGAATCATCCGCTGGTGCCCCAGGTTCTTGGCTAAGTTGGTGCAAATAACTCCAATAAGGTAATTAGTTATGGAGGACATAACTATAGTTACTATGGTTTATAAACGTGAGCAGTCCATGTTCAAATATGAATCATGAGTCCATCTTCAAATATGAATCATCAGTCCATGTTCAAACGTGAGCGGTTTGTTTGAAGAGAAACAACTTCCAACCGAATAAGGAGAACCAAACATAACATCTCCGAGGCCAGCTGACTTCAAATCAATCTACCCTGACCCAACATTACTCATTGAAATCATTGAAATGGGAGCAAGGTTCACTTAAACACAACATAGACGGATACAATTCTAAACAAACACGTCATTTCATACATTTTTCCATAGGTCATCGATAGGTATACCATGGGTTTTTGGCCCTATACCCATCAAGGCACATCTGTAGCACCTCCTGTCGGTCGCAGCTCTCAGGGAGGCCTCGCTTCATCGAATCTGCCCGGAGCTCTGCAGCGTTGGCGCCGTCCCACACCTTTGCCTGGCAGCGTGCAACCGCCCAGGTGCCACCGGTCACCACCCGGTCACCCTTTGGTCAGATTGTGGGTCATGGGATTTGATCAACATGTTGGATACCTCCAAATATATACCTTTAAGTGGAATATCATTGGAATATCATGCGCTTGAATATGAAGATCATGGGGAATATATGGGAATATTAGTGGCACCACCCTGACGAACAGTTGGGAAACTCGAAGTAGCTCAACCGTTCCCCATGCAAGTAGTAGGGAATGTTTATAGCCACAGCTCCAAATCGCTTCCTCCTAAGCACCAGACAGCAAAGAGATCAAAGGCGGGTCTTGTTGTTTTTCTCCATGATATGGAATTCAAATGTATTAGTTTTGAATAAATGTGTTCAAAGATATGGAGGCTGGCAGGAATGCCACAGTATTGCGACAAGAAAAAACAATCTTATCAGAAACACCCGAGTTTCAAGGTGCTAAAAATCTGAAGTAAGCCAGGAAACATTCGGGGTCTTGACACACCAAAAGATAAATTCAAACTTGGCGGCAGAATGATTACAGTACAGCCACAAGATTGGAATCCGGCCAGTATGTGTTCACAGAAAGGAAGACGCGCAGCATCACTGAATATTTACATCACACACCATGGGTTATTGACAACCACCTCTTCCAAACAAAACTTCTGAATCAACTGTTGCTGGTTGGTGGTATACCTACCCCTCTGAAAAATATGAGTTCGTCAGTTGGGATGATGAAATTCCCAATATATGGACGGTCATAAAATTCATGTTGCAAACCACCATCCAGGTTGGAATGGCCCACCGCCAGTATTCCCCATAAACTGTTGTGTATAGTCATGAAATTCCACACTTCCAAGCACCGACTTCCCACCGACTTCCGGCACCTGTTGGAGACATAAAAGCATCAGCTCATGGGAGATCTGACAGACTTGCCTCGTGAACGGTCGCGGAACGCGACTAAACTGAAACTGAAGGGACACTCCTGTGTCCCTGTGAAATCAGGGGTGTTTCGGAAAAGAAGAGCTTTTTTGGGATTCGTTGCCAAAAAATGGGGGAATCATCAGTTGGAATCCATGGATCGTGTTGATTTAGAATGGTTTTCTTCACTGAAACAGGATATCTGGATGAAGATAAACTGTTAATCCTATCTCTCGGCTGAGAGGTCATGGCTGATCATCATTCCACAGGTGGAACGTCGGAGAAGCAACATGCTTCAAACTGCCATTCGGAACCATCCAGTTTGAATAAAATAATAACAATTCACACACCTGAAAAAATCATCTTGAACATACAGCTATCTGGTTGAATTCACCAACTAAAAAAAATACTTGGGGATGATTCCCCTCACTGACCATCATTCCGGTGACGTCGCAGTGATGTCATTAGAATCTATCCTATCCAGATCCATCCAGTGCTTTCTAGAGAATCGGCTCTTCATTACAATACTTGGAACTTGGATGATCAGTATGAATAGCTCCTCAAGAAGTGATCTTTCATCATCTAATAAACTGTTGACGATGATTTGGCCGTTCGCGACCCGGAAATCACCCAATGAGAAATCGCCCTAATCCTTCTCATAATAAATTCGCAAAACAAGAGAGACAATAATTTGCCAAGTAGGGGTTGCTGTTCTCTCGATTTGCCAAGTTCCACCCAGGCACAGCCCACGACGTTTGGCTTCAGCTTGAAGTTCTTCTAAACTCCAATGTGGCCATTGTTCCTGCCATGAAATTTGGATCCAGGGTACCCCTGGATACCCGAAGAATCTGCAGCTGGGTCCTATGTTTCATGCTGGTATTTTGATTTTTTTGGCCATCCAAATGGGTATGGGCTCGGTCAAGATAAGGGACCTACTATCTGGACAGAGTCTTCTTTCCTGCCTGAAGGATCCTCTACCCAGCTTTTTTGAATGGTCCCGTTCTTTGCTGCCCACACTTGCACCACTACAGGCATGCACAATGATATGAGTTGGGTGGGTTCCAATCTTATCTCCTATCAGTTTCTTATACCCCCGGTAGACTAACAAAAGTTAGTATGGAAAATCATCTTGATAGTTAAATAAATGGCCAGATTTCAATAGCCATTTGAGTTTACTGGAGAGCACTTAATTTTGTTTCCCGCAAAACGTCCAGCTGAATTCCCAGAGGTTAAAGGGATGGATCCCCTCAATAAGTGGCATATCATGGATGGTTGTTCCACATAAAAACCCAGCTATATCATCCAATACCGTGATTAAACACCCAATCCCCGCCAAAAAAAAAATCACCACCAGAAGCCATGCTTTAGTAGGTGGTTTACACATATTTGATACCAGAGAATGTGGGTAGTTCACATGTTTTTCACATTCGGGGATGGGATTATCCCTACTGAACATCATCTAACTACTGGGGCTAGCACAATAGAATCTCCAACAAATACTGTTTTCAAGATATGTTCAAATAATATCCAAATGAGAACATTTGCCAACTACAAATCCTCCTTAACCTCTACACCCCATTATGTATATATATATATATATACACGCTATTATATTCCGTACTGTAAAGGGTAAATAAAGCCAAGTTATATGTATATAATATATCTCACATCGTATACAAACCATGAGGCATATGTATATGTACACACACTCGTTAGATGGGGATGCAATATGAAATATAGGTATAGAACTCTTGAATGAATAGATTCTACTCATTATACACATCCATTCTACATCTATATGTATATATTATATATATACTGATACCCTATTAAATTAGCTGGGGATGGAAACACAGGAAATCCATCACCATCCCCATTATATATCCCATCGCAAATCCCAGTAGACACACATCTATATATATATACACATGTATATTCAAATATTTACCCCATAAATACATATATATATATATGAATGTTAATGTATTGGATAACTATATATATATTATATATACACATAATTATACATATGTCTGAGCCATGTTCTAAATGTCTTGTATCCCAGCACCAAATAAGGAAATGCTTACGCCGGTACTTACGTTTTGCTTACGCGCACAGAGGTTTTGCTTATGCCACACCCTTACAAGGGGCCCCTTCCTAAACATGAACACAAGGGTATAGAACGTGGCTCATATGTACATCCATTACATGTACCCCCATAACCTGGGTACGAAGGAAGCAAAATCATCACCATCCCCAGGCGAGCTCCTCCTCCGGCACTTCCTGCTCCGTCACCGTTTTGGCGTCCGCCACCAGCAGCTCTCGCCGCGCGCCCAGCGCGTCCGCGTCGCGCAGCGCGCGGCCGGAGGGGCACAGAAGGGCCAAACGACGCCAGGAGCCACGTTTGGTGAGCCTGGAAGGGTGAGCTCAATTCATATGTATACATAGTTGTGTATAATTATAAATAAATATTTATATATATATTGTATCTATATATATATATATATTGTATCTATATATATATATTGTATCTATATATATATATTTATATTTATAGATATAGATATAGATGGGGATTTCTTAAAATGGGGAATCCCCAAGTCACCGTCGGTTTCAATACTTGGATGATTCGGGTAACCATATTTTAGGAAACACCCATAGGTGAACCCATGTGTATATAAAATGTTGCGTATATATATATATATGTGTGTGCGTGTATGTATTATGATGAATTCACATGTAATTAGATGAATCTATATAGATGAAATGAGATCACTTGTTTAAAACAAAAATAGATCAGTCCAGTCTAGATGAAGTTAGATGTATTTAGACGAAATTAGATGTAAATGATGTATTCCTTCAGATGTATTTAGATGAAACAAATTGAACTCAGATGAACTTAGATGCATTTTGGAAAATAGATGTGTTATGATATGTCTTGCTGAAGTTGGATGTATATATTACATGAGTTTAGATGAAATGGGAACGAATCCAAGCGGTGAGTCGAGCACGCGGATTTCTGATTGTCGTTGACGCTTCTGAGCTTCCCCAATCGCCAGAGCTGCACAAGCTCTTGGAGAACCAAGCTGCTTCGTGGCTTTAACCATCTTGAAAAATATGAGTTCGTCAACGGGAAGGATTGTCCCATATATGAAACGGAAAATAAAAAATGTTTGAAACCACCAACCAGGGTATTTTTTAAGCGTCTTGAGCCCACTGAAAATCACTCCAATCCTACTGGTGCCATGACCTCAACAAAGTGGCACACCTCACGAATTCACGGTGAATGGTGAACAGAACCCACCATAAAATGTGCCCACCGTGGCGACCCCGGCCTCACCAGCAGCTTCTTGATATCTCTGATGCAGGTATCTTCCTTGGAAATTGGGCTAGAAATTGGGATGGATCAGGCATTTGTGCGGCAAGGCTCTTCAAGCATGATGTCATGACTTTTTGATTCAATGCCCTGGGTAGATCAAGCTGCAGAAGTTGGGTCTTGACATGTCTTGACCAAAAAAGGATAGGCCCGGACATGCGCCCAGAAATAAAGAAGTGCATAGTGGAATGATGTTGATCTAAAAAGTGGTTTGATACGATAGTGATAGTGAATCCTTGGGGGTACCTTCCGTGCCTTGCCATGCCGCTGTGAATGGCTTTTTTTTTTGCCTGCTAGCAATGGCCAAACTAATCCACACTGGGGGAAGATCATCCACAAATATCAATACTATACACGTCCAAATTTCTGTTGGCATGCCATAGTTTGAGCCTGGCATTTTTGAACATCCGTTCGCAATTGTGATTGCCTACACATTCATGGAAAGGGCTGTGGAAACATTCGTGCTGTCTTGTTTCGGCGGTGACCTTCCGGCCAGCAACAGCAAAAAGTGCCAGTCGCCAAGGTGATGGTACCCTCTGGTAAACAAACATAGCTATTGAACATGGCCATTTATAGTGGATTTACCCAGTAAAAAAATGTGATTTTCCATAATTATGTTAGTTTACCAGAGGGTAAAATCGGAATGAATCACAAAGACTCACTCGCATCTGTCAGCTTTCATTGCACCCAAACACATGTCGGAGGGAATCTTCCCCCAGCTGTTTGAGCTCGCCATGATTTTATCCACACCAGTGTTTCAATCATGGGAGCCATCTCTAAAACTGAGGTCCTACTATTTCTTGATCATCGTTGGTTTTTTAATCCCAGGTTAATAGACCCCTACTATCAATTGGCAGGGTTGCCTTCAAAATATATGTACTCAATTGCTCCTAAATTGGCGCCCCTTACTAGTAAACTGGCGGATCTAACTCCTGGTTAACACTACTTAGGTCCTCCCATGTCTCAATCATTTCTTTGGATTCCATCCCTACGTTCTTTCCACATTTACGATCCGACTCATCCCCCATCGGCCCCATGCATCGCCATCCCCATCGAATCATCGTCGCCGGCCCACTGGCACAGTGATCACTCGCTTGAGTTGGGTGGAGGCGTGGCGCAGGGTCAACTGAACTCCGATCCCACTCTGCTCAGCGTCCTGCGGGTCTGGCGAGGCAGCTGGAGTTTTTCCTCGGAAATGATGGAAAGACTGGAGAGAAGAGCACGTAGTGGCATCGGCTGCATGCTAGCGCAGGCATCGCAGCCGGCTGGAGGGAAGAGCAAAAAAGAATGATGTTTTTACCCACGAAGATAGGGATTCAAGCAGCAAACACTTGAATTTCAACCACAACAAGTGAATTTTTTACAGCAAGTCCATGAATGGGGATCAGACCCGCAAAATAAAAACAGCAACTGGCAAACGACCAAAATGCTGAGATAGCCGACATAGCAAAATGACCAAGCAAAGTATGTCAGATGGCTCACCCTGCATGACCTGGCGCTGTGATGGATTATGCCAGCTAGCACCCTAGTTGGCAACTACGACTAAGGAAGGATTTTATACCATTGTTATGTCCTTTGTTGCGGTTACCCACTGACGTGGACATTGGATGAAATTAGGATTTTTCCACTGCTGGACTCAAGGAGGAGACCAGCGTAATTACCAATTTTTCTCACATCTTTACGGTAAATCCAAGAAGATGAATCCGCACCAACGCGAATCAACAATAGGCAGTTGATGATTCAAGTGTTCTTTTTGCCTAGGCGCTGCGGTTTTTTTAAACTGAAAACTGCGTTTTTTGCGTTGTGATCATGTTTCTTGGTCAAAACTCCATGTCACTCAAACATACAACGGTTCTTGATTAAAACGGTGCATGCGCGGTCTCACTTGTCAACATGTATGATGCTAGATTTTTCTTGCAGCCGCACTTGCAACGATCTACCCAAAATCACCCAGACAATTCGCCCCACAATGACAATAGAACAATGCAGGACTGGGCCGGTCAAGCCAATACTGACCATACCTTCGCCTTGTTTACCAAAAATTCGCCGTTGGAGTATGGAAAGCAATACGGAAACAAGGTTTTCTGACTTTGTTTACCACACTGCTACTATTCAGTTGCTTTGCATGTTCACAAAGATGCCCACGTGTGGACATCAGAACCACCTTTGGGATGTGCATCTTGCAAGCCGTACCCGGCTGATGGAACCCCCCATCCCCATACTACTCAGCCAGGCCCCTACAAGGTGGTGGCCCAGTTCGCTAGCTTGATTTATGATTCCAACTGACTGGGGTTCATGGAGGATTTAAGACTTATTATATGTTATTATGGTTCATAAATATCATATATCTATAACCTATAACTTGGGGAAAACCATGGTCCAAAAATCTTATAACTGGGGGGTGCATCACCTTGCATACGGGTTATAAACCATTGGCGATGCCCAAGGTTTCTGCGTCCTGCGGGTTGAGCCCTTGACTTTGAAAGAGTTCCCGCAGCTGGAGGTGTTGCAATTGCCTCAGCCAGGTGTCCTTCAGAAGCCTGGCGTTCATCCCAACCTAGACATGTGTATATACATATATATATATATGTATATGTATATATAGAGGCATATGTTGTCCATATAATATCTAAAATATTCAAATATATATATATATATATGTTTTTCATAGTTTATCAAATGTTTATCATGTGTATAACCGATATGTGTTCATATATAACATCCATGTTGTTTGAAGTTCATACTCTTAGTAGTTTGCAGGCAACAATGTGTAACAATTACACCCATACGCCCAAGTCCTTGCAATGTTTGCGTTTGACAGCTATTCCCAATCAAAACGCTCGCCACGACCCCTGTCCCGGCAGAGACCTTGCAAAACCCCTTTCCCCATTGGAAACGCTAGCTTTAACAAGCCTTGACCAAACTATCATGGCTCTATTATGTTCTATTCGTTTTTGATCGAATCCCATCGGAACGCCGGTTTCCAACGGGCCTTTTTTCGTGGGCACTGTTGACGCCCACAAACAAAAACGCGAAGCAGGCCCTTTTCCTAGTTTGTATACTGCAGGATGGGTTCTGATAAAGGAAAAAAACGAGGTCCAAAACGAGGTCAAAACGAGTTACGGAGAAAGCCCCGCATCTACACACATGGACTTCGGCCCGCAAGCCGCAAACCTGCCCTTCCTTGGATCACTGGTAGCGAAACAATGACAATTTGCAGAATCCCAGCACACCGCCATGGCAGTGTAGAGATGATAATCCCAGCGTTGTGTAGCAGCCGTCGAACCAGCAGCCGCAGCAACAGCAAGACGCCAGTAGCTGCAGAACCCAACAGCAACCATCCCAAACACAATGAAAACGCAACTAGCAAGATTAAAGCAGTATGCTAATAGTAAAACAACGCCCTACCCCAAACACAACCTAAACGCCGCTTCGCCACTTTAGGTCTACATGAGATAGTAAAACAGCAACCTACCCTAAACACAAGCTAAACGCCGCATCGCCACGACTTCCACAAAAGCCTTCCCCCAAGCGAATTTCAAGATTTTTGGGATTTCGCCACGACTTGGGCAGTTGGGAGTACACAAAAAGGAAAACAAGGATACGGATACTGTATGTCAACTTATGCCAAGAAGTGTATGCATCTAGATATGATTAATTAGACACGTACCGAAATGATATGTGGATACGTAGTGTGAGCGCTGCCTTGCTTTTAACTACTCTGCATAGTTCCACCTTTACGGTAAAATTCACCACTGTTATGTCAATGAAATCCAGTGTTTGCTGTTCAACTCCATCTTTCTTCAGTTTGGGCGATGTTTTGTTGGTTAAATCCCCACTGTCGGTGAGTATATCGCCAATTCTTGTTGAAATGTGCCTGAGAGGTCACCATTTCCACTGGTCAACTCCCACATGAAAAATTGAGCAACTGGAGAATAATGAATAGGATAGTATCTTCCCTCCAAAAAAGAAAAACACCAAGAAATACCCAGAATCCAGAGTGTCATCTCAGCTCTGCGGGTCATTTTCCAAGATCTTTCAATCATCTTTCAATCTTTCCCCAGGCCCATCGCCCATCGGCCATCGCCCCTCCCACCACGTCACCACGTCAACTCCACGGCATTCAGCCCCTCCGCTCCGCGTTTCGTCGCGTCAGCGCCACGGTCCAGCAGCAGACGGCAGACCTCGACGTCGCCCTGACGAACGGCTTCCAATAACGGCGTGGTGTCCTGGTGCAACCAAGGAGGAAAGGTGCAAGCCAGAGGTACTCTAGTTTTAATGATAATCTCATGGTGATTTCATGGATTTAAATGGTAATTTCATGGAGTTTAGTGTTGGTTTCATGAACATTACATGAAATATAACCAACTTGGGGGTGCAGTTGAAATTACTTTCCTAGCTATAACCATGGTGAAATGATCCATAAATATTCCATAAGTTGGGATACAATCTCTTTGACAATGTATGTATGTATATATGTATATATAATATATATATATAAAATCCACTTAGAGCTAATTTTTTGGATTGGATCTGTATCTACGGTTGGGAGTTCCCTGCACAAAGAGAGGACTCGGGCATAGTTGGGCATTATATCCTCCCTCCACAATGCCAACAAAAAAACAAATGCCCATCAAAACCTATAATTCACCACTTGATTTGCCCCAAAAATGGAGTAATGTGAAGTTTTTTGTGGTTTTTTAACAATGCCATTTACTCTCGCCATAAATTTCAGGGAATGGTTTATACTATACCACCGTTTTAAACATGGTGATGTGGGTCTCCGGGGTCTCCTGGAGGTCGCCCAAATTGCTGTCCGCGTTGGCTTTCATCAACTGCCTTAAGGATATGATCAGCAACGGGGAGACCACCGAATCATAGGGAAACCTCTGGCAACTTGCCGAGCTTCTCAGCCGAGATCGCCCAATTTTCCCGGAAAAATGTCTCCATTTCTCGACATCCCATCAAAAATGAGAAGGTAAGAAAAAGGTAAAACTCTTTCAAATGAACTTGATTCTTAGATGACAGAAGCTTCCATCATGTTTATCAACAAAAAAAACATTACGTGTATTCCCATGACTTTTTCCATCAATTGAACACTCTTTCCCATATATGTCAAATATTTCACATACTTATTTTCCATCTTACCTCGCCATGATTTATCATTTGTCCTTCCATTTTTTCTTGGTTAAATCACAAATGTCCTATATGTTCGAGATATGTGCCATATTAATCTCCATTTTCACTTTCCATCCTAGATCCATTTTCACTGTCCATATTATTAATATGATTAGATCCATTTTCACTGTCCATCATTGCCATTTCTCATCTAACTTCACCAAGTGGGGATGGGTCAAAACCATTTTTTTTTCATATGACTACCTTTTTGGGGGAGAAAACCATCCATTCCCCAGCTATCTTGAGATACCAGCCTAGGGTACCAGGCTTTTGACCCTGGCCGCCAAGTCACCTCATGGCCTTCACCCTGCCGCCTCCGTCGCAGCGTTGCACCGCCAGCAGCAGCGCCGTTTCGCCGCGCAGATTTCGGGCGTTGACCGCGGCCGCCTTTGAACGCGCCAGGAGGGCCTCGAAGCTGGGCCCGCTCGGCGCTCCAAAAAACCACCCGAAATCATGGGAGTTTGGGGTGAAAAATGGGAATTTCACTGGGCAAATACCTGGAAATTATATGGAAGATCTATATGGAAAAATGGTGATTGAAGCATTTTTAAATGGTGAAAAATGGGAATTGGAAACGGAAGATCTATGGTGCAAGAAGCAACAGCTCAACCTCTGTGTCCTCTTTTAATGACGAGGGCGGCACATTTGCCAGGCAGCTGTTCCTGATAGCAATGAGCCCGTACTTGTTGTTGCCAACAAAGATCTGGTTGCTTCCCTCGTTCTGAACCTTGAAAGTTCCTTGAATCACTGACACCCGGCTTGACAGTGACACGTATGAACCAGACTCAAAAATAACCCGCTCAATATCAGGCCTTGTGCTGTCAAACTGCTGGCTATGCACTGCCGTGGTTAGCGCGTCTGCCTCGTCTTTGTGTCGAGCAGTTCACAGGTCGTTGTGAAAATACTCACGAGAGTTGCAAGCTGTTTGGCGTTGACAAATGCGTACTGCGGTACGCGCAACCAATAGTCGGGGCCCTCGAAGTTGAATGTGATAGTGACTGTCTCCCCAATTGCTGGCAGAACCCTTTGCGCAATTAGGGGTTGCAAAGATTGGCCAATCATCTGCCTGGTTTCCACCATGAAATTTTGGCTTTTTAGCTCATTTGATGGTGATGTCACTGGATTATATAAATTAAAGTGGGAAGCCTGAAAATATTGGGATATCTAATAGCTAATGAGATTTCACCAACCAATTATAGGATATTATAAGGATATAGCATGAAATGCTTAGTAATTCAAGGTACATAACCAAAAACAAATTAGGATATCTTTTCGACATGTATATTAACAACAATCTTGGGTCTTACCCTATAAAATGCACTTTTCATGGGACTTGAAGTCCAACAATCCCTCATAAATGGAGGGTGATAGCTGGAAGATCGATAGTTAATGGGCCATAACCACCCATGTTCCGAAGGTTTCGCCCTGAAAAATCGTGATTTGAACTGGGGGTTTGCTGGGAATTGACCTGGAAAAAAAATTCCATGGGACTCCATGACACTAAACTAAAAGAAAGCCCAGGAAATCCGAAATCCATGGTTTGTTTTTGCAGATGAATCCACGACAATTCGGACCCTCGAGGATGGTAGTACGATGGTAGCCCACTTGAACCCCAGCACATCATGATGGTCATCCCCTCTTGGGGTCATGGTCTGCTATGAACAAAGGGTACAATCTGAAAGGGCACTGGTCCTGGTCTCCAAATGAAAACCATTTATACCAACATGAAACAACTACATGGAGTGTCAACAAATAATTATGTCACCAGCGAAAAAGGGAACATCAATGTTCCCGCAAATCTGGACAATAACGAACTTATCTCATCAAATAGGGATGTGACCAATGAAAATGGGGACCCAACAAAACCTGGGCCGATCAAAATGGCGCACTGGTGAATGGGAACCACGGATGGAGCTACCCTCCTAGCAATTTGTGTTGACCCTGCATGCATGATCATGCATGTAGCCAAAACTCATCATTTAAACAAATAAAAACACAATAAACGATACGAACCCTCCGCTAAAGCCATGGCCCATTTGCAGTAGTTCGATAAATGAAACATGGTGATTCTCCATAACTATGTTAAATCACCAGAAGCCGAAACCCCGTTGACAGTGGTTGATTGGTTGGTAAATATTCCGGTTCCTGATGGTTGTTCCAAATAAGTCCTATAAATCCCATGTGTTTGATGGGTAAACCCCACCAAAGCTAAATGTTTTGCAGCGTTAAAGTGGGATTTTACTTTTCTATAGTTTGGGGGGGCGCCAACATAAAACACTGGTTGGTGGTATATCTACCCCTCTGAAAAATCTGAAAGTTAGTTGGGATGATGAAATTCCGAATATATGTAAAAATAATCCAAATGTTCAACCACCAATCAGAATATTTATATATATATAACATCATCATCATCATCATCATCATCATCATCATCATCACCATCATCACCATCATCAAATATTAACCATATTAACATTATATACATTAACCAAGGATAGTGATCATTAACCATATATTAACCATATCAAAGTATCCATGGATTTCCCATTGATTATGGATGATTTTCCCGGCGAATCAGGGGAATGCGGCACCTTCACTGTGTCGTTGAGGTTCTCCTGAAAGTCTGGGTTGGGTGGTGCCAGTATGCCTCGGTGAAAGCCATGGCAGCCATGGGTTTTTAGGCCTCAAAATAACGGGTGCGTTTTACGTAAGGTTGCTGGGGGTTGCTGGGATGATAAAATTACTAGTGATGAAATGGATCATTCCCGAAAATTCCCACCGTCCAACGCACCAGTAAGTTTATGGAGAACATCATGGGGAATGAGAATAACATGCTAACTAATATATGGAGAAACACTTTTCACTAATGTTAGTGTCATATAGGTGGGATATAGCCTCTGCTATTTAACTGTGGCTGGCTGGAAAATCCCTTACAAATGAAAGTTTATAGCAGGAAAAATAATCAAACTAAATGGTGTGTTTACAATTGCCCTGTTTATCCCTGTTTGATTACCGGGGGGTACTTCAAAGAAATTGAACATCACGTTTGACCATCATCAAACCAATTGGACATGGCACTTTAAACATATGTGGATTAGATTCGGCAAGACACCATCTATCACGCACATATTGAAACTCCAATTAAGATGGAAACTCAAAGAATACAAACCACCTTTAAACCAACCAACCACCAACATCAGACCAGGCAGCCATGAAAGGGAGTTACTCCTGTGTTAACCCAGCCACTAGCGTCAACCTTGGATAACCCAAGCACTGGTCTCATCAGCTCCATTCTAAATCACCAATTTTGTTGGTTAAAAAAGTTATCTTTGCTCAAAAAAATAGCACCCGTTGTTGGATTTGCCGAAAACTTGAACATCATGTAAGTTCAAGGCTTCAAGCGTTCATGACCTACCCTCTGGTAAACGTTTACATAGCAAACTGGAAAAAAACAGTAGGTTTAAGTTCGGTAGACCCCTGGAACTAAATTACCAGAGGGGAATTGTCATCATACCCTCATACCCACGTCTCTGCGAATGTTGACATCCCAGGCGCATCGGTGAAGTGCAGTGTTGCCATCCAAATCCACGTCCCCTTCGCTAAACCTCATGCTGGATGGGGAGGATGAAAAACAATGGGATTATGAGGCACCCTAAAGGTCCTAACTTCAAACTCCAAATCTTTACTTCCTGTAGTTTGAAGCTTGGAAATGTTGGGGTTCTAGCATGTTCTAGCGGAATCACGTTCAAGGTCTAAGACCTCAACATGCATTGTCTAACTATCATCTTCAGATTTCAGGGCCTCTGGCTTTAAAGGCCCCGCTATTAAATTATGACCTCTAGCGAACCATTCACACATGCCAGCGTGCAGTGAATTCACACATGTACCCTACTTCCCACCAAGTAACATCGCTCAATATATATATATATATATATGGTGGGGATATATAATGATATATACATTTATATGTCAGGCACATATATTAACAGCGTATATATATATATACCATGTTATATGCCAGTTTTGTGTGTATTCTTTTGCGTTGGTGATTGGAAGGAATTTTCTACAACTGTCACCAGGCCCATGTTGACCTTCTGACCTTCCCTGGAAAACGATGTTGAACAAACAGGTCACGTAAATATCTCTTTAATAACCACCATCATCCATTCAGAAAATCATGTTTCCAGCAATCATATCTCATTAATTATCCAAAATAACTGATAGACATGTAAGCATATATATATATATAATGTAATTCATTATAATTCTAAAAGGCAAAACCGTATGAATATGTATGAACAATTATAAACATCCAATTTTCATAATTTTCTACAAGCCCATCTTCGCCAGGGCACATGTCCACCTGCGTCCTTTCCTCTCGCTTCGTCGACGCCGAAGCTGTCGACGCCGACGCCGTCGGCTCCGGCTGCTGCAGCCGCCGCAGCAGCGCCGCGTCATCTTCATTGGCCCCGGTGCCAGTGGCGGCCAGGAGAGAACGTAGCACATCCTTAATGGGTACATGCTGCATTTATAGCAGAAAAAGTGGAGACTTCACCAACAAGACTAGAAATTTCGTGGGAATTGTAGCTGATTTCTGTTGGAGAAGTTGGTACATACTGCAATTCAAACCACCTTTTGTTTGGAAAAGTCATTCCCCCAAAATGCCGACAGTGTGAAATTTATTGAAGGGGAATCAAGAAATTGGGATTTGACTTCTTATGGATGGATTTGGGTTATCAAAAATTGGAATGACACCCTCTGGTTATTTAACACATATATGTATACATATATATATATATATATTTAACCACTGAAATTGGAGATGCTAACTTCAACATCATACTTCGTGCCAAAGATTTGAAGCCTGCTCCCACACAAAAATTAGCCGCTAAGTATGTGTAGCTGCGTGACGGATCTGTACATATCTGCTTGGGAAAAATCTGGGAAACCATTAACAAAACAGAAAAGGAGGCAAGCATAGGGACGTGACAAACTACAATGGGGGTTTGCATCAACACAGGTGTTCAATATGACAAGTAGGACAAACCCATGAAAAAATGTTTCGTGGCTCAAGGGATTGTCTTGAGAGAACGGTTTCTTCAGGAAATCTAGGAAACTATGAATGTTTACCTTTCAATTCAAGGGCATCCTGTAGCACATTTGGACGTAAATTAACTAGTTCTGGGATCGAGACACATCCGTCAAACATACGAGAACCAACTTCGATTCATCACCATAGGAAAATTGAAACAAATGAAAAATATGTTAACAAAAAAACAACAACGCCAGCCAGCAGCCAGAAAATCTTGTCCTGGCATGATCCGGCCAATTTTGAAGCTACAGTAAATCTAATTCCAATGAAGTATTGGGCACGTTGTCCACCAGCTTCATGTTGAGAAGATGTGAGCCTTTCAACAAGTCGTGGCTCAAGAAGCCCAGCCACGTCTCGCGATATGTCGCGATGACAAGACCCAGGGCAGTTTTTTCAACGCCCACGATGCGGTAGCAAATTTGTCCAGATGCGGTTCGCCAGGCGAACTTTGTAGTTTGTGACGTTCCCATAAAGGGTTGAAGGCTAAAATGGCCGGGCTGCAACAATGACCTTGTCGAGTTTGGCTTGTTTGGCTTGCAGCAGTTTTCTGTTTTCTGAATCCACGCGGCATGCCGCCTGGAACCTGCGTGCGTGTACTCTTGCTGCCTCATCGCTATCCAGTTTCCGAAAAGCAAATTTCTTCAGGGTTACAGATTAGACTTCAGGAGTTACCCACTGGTAAACTAACATAGCTATGGAAAATCACAATTTTAATGGGTAAATCAACTATAGATGGCCATTTTCAATAGCTATGTTGACATGACCAGAGGGTAGTTTGGCAGTGGTATACCATGGTATTCGCAAGATTGAAATCACCATCCTGACCTGTACTGTTTGACGGAATGATTAAAACCAACGCCCACAAAACATATCAACTGCCACTAATGGCTGACCTAAAAGAATAATTGCGTTTTGTGACTCGCACTACCTCTTGAAAACCAACACAGACCTGGACTTGGAAAACTCATTTATTTGGTGAAATCGCTTTGTGTGTTGGGCACATTTTGATCAGTTTAGTTAAGTTGTAACAAGGGATTGCGTCAATACAGCGCCCTGCTCCCAGCTATCACTCGGGCTGACAATCCCCATGCATTTGTTTTGTTCAAACACTTTCGTTAGGGTTACATTGATGAAACTATTTATGAACAGCACCGCTGTTGTTGGGTGGTTTGCATCTATTTCAAACTGTCATTCAGGCTCGCAAGTGTGAGATGCTTCTTGAACCGGTTGGTGCCCTCTTTCTGGTTTGTTCAAATCCACCTGTGTTTCTGGTCTCATTTGACTTCGTTCGCCTCCTTGTGCTGATTAAATCACCATGGTTGCAGTCTTGTTGGTTAGATCACCATTCTTGTCGCTTTATTCACCATTATAATTTCGCAGCACATCCCATTATATCAGTATATTCCCATTAATATGCCAATCATATCCCATTCAAATCTATCAGAATGAAATTCTCATCCTATTCTGTTAGTATACCCAGATGGAGGGTTATAAGGGCACCCAGGTACCTCCATATCCTCCATTTTATAGAGGAAATACCCAGGGGATCCCAGATCTATATTCACTTCTCATCCTCGCCCTCCTCGCCAAGCTTCCAGGCCCTCCGGCACCTGCGCCGCCAGCGGCAAGAGCTTTTCGTCAACGTGCGCGCGCGCAGCAAGGAGGCAGCGGATGGTTGGGAGCCTGGGAGCACTTGGTCAACTTGTGTTTTTTCACCACAAGCCTGGATGTTTTTTTGTTGCTTCAAAATGGGAGTATCATGGGATAATGGGATTCATGATGCTGGTGGACCCCATATAGCGAAGTTGGTGAACATAACTAACTATGATTTATGATAGATGTATCTATATAGATAGTAGGATTTACCAACTAACTGGGAAGCCCACCTTGCAGATGGATAACTTGCAAAAGATGTTGCCTTTCAGCAAAACATGAAAGGTTAAATGATATTATATAAGTGATCCAAGGACCTATAGAGCGAGAGAGGTAGAGTTATTATAACCATTCTCTACCTGCATGGGATGCGCATCCGAGCAATCTTCCATCACAGAATCACCATCAAAAAAGACAATGGGGGCGAACATGAGTCCCCCGATTGGATTCCACTAGTGGGTTCTTTTGGAAAGGGTAGTTCGGTAGTTCGGAGTCCTGCAAAGTACAACTCAGAAGGTATCCGTCAATCATCGCTAACCTGCAAACATGAGAAAGTGAGGCAACAAAAATTGAATGCTCGGGGTTCAATTTTGATGACCCCAGTCCAAGCTGGGGAAATCAATAGCAGGGTACCGCATAAACTACCAAGGTTGGCCAATGGTATGATGCACATCATATATTTACAGCCCGAGCCTTTACATGAACACATGTCCATTTTTTCTGGTTGTTCTTTATGTTTTTTTTTATAGTCCGTTAACAAAGACGGATAAACATCTACTCTGGCAACACAATGGTGCCACTGGCCTCGAGTGGTGGATGATAGTAGGTGACCGGGCCCATTAGCAATCCATCACTGGGAAACCTTCATCATTTATTTCGAAATGAACCTGCATCAGAATTTCGGAATGAACCTGCATCTAAGGCTTCAAGATTGGATTCCTTTTGCGCATAGAAACTCCTTGAAACGACCATCAATGTACGTACGGCATCGTACGGCACGATTTTGAAATTCTGTTGGGATAAAAATCCTGAATGCTGTGACTACCTGACACATTACTATATAACTACAAGTCATGTAGGATTTCATTCAGGGTTTCGTTTCGTTTTAGGGTTTGATTTGGTTTCATTTAGGGTGTCATTTAGGATTGCATTTAGGGCTTAATTTAGGGTTTCGTTTAGAGGGTTTCATTTGGGGGAAAGAAGCATACCAACAGGAGAGAATAAAGCAAAAGAAACAAAAAAACAAAGAGACGGTAAAGAAAGAAAGCTGCGAAGCAGAGTTCGTTCTTTCATTGGCTCATTTTTCTTTATTTCTATTGATTCCAATAATGTCTTTTGATCCTAATGCTAATTTGTTTTTGATCCTGATGATATTTTTTTGATCTAGATCCCCATTAATTACTTACATACATATACATTTTCTCCACAGCTTATGGCTCACAAAAGCAACAAACCTCACCCAAAGTTGTTCCAAAAGGTCCAAGAATGACTCTAAGGCGCATCAAATCAACAAAAAAAACATAAACATGTATCAAAGTGGCTCTTTACATCACTCCCTCGCCCCATCTCCGTATATATATATATATAGTTAAATATAATTAAATAGAATTATATATATAATTATATATATATATCTTTGCCTTTTTGCCTTCCCGCAGTTCCCATGCGGCCAGGGGGCTGATCTTCGGTGGGTGGGGACAGCAGTGTCAAATGCAGTGGGCTATAGCCGTCCATGTCAAGCGTGTTGATTTGATGACAGCCCTCAGACCTGGGACTGTGGGAATCCAAGCCATGAAAGAACCCAAAAAAGTCATAGGAAAAACAAACGACAAGCCAGGGGCTCTTATTTAAAAAAGGAAAACAACCCGAAGAAGTTAGACCACCACTGTGTAGCACAGGTCTATGTATTACGGGCTTGATGATCATCATCAGTTATTGAAGGGGTCTTTCGTGGTGGCCGAATCCCCATAGCGGCGATGCCAGGCGAGCCAAACTGGCCATGGTCTGGTAGTTGCGTTGAGGATATCTGGTTGGTGGTTTCAACCTACCCCTCTGAAAAATATGACAGTCAGTTAGTTGGGATGATTCTCCCCAAGATATGGAAAAATAAAAACATGTTCCAACCACCAACCAGATCACTATCATATTCCCATTGTTGTTGGTTTATACCCTATTAACCACTATTAATATCACACTATGTTCCAAACCACCAACCAGATATTCCATGCTTAACCAGATATTAACAACAACTTTCTGCCACCAACGGAACATGTCGGAAGAATCCAATACATGCGCGTGCGTGTCTGCAAAAGAATACATATAATTACACTGCGTTCCCCCGTTTATGGCCATCAACCAGCCCAGTCACAAACTAATAGCCCAGGTGTGCTATCAAATCTGGAAAAATCAAATACTTGATGCTTGCTCATTTGGGAATGCCATTCCATTTCCAAAATACGTGGCCAATCGCAACACTATCCAGCTATAACATGTGCAATGCACAAATCTGAACCAAATAAATCACGAGGCGGTTTCCTCGCAAGCATCATCATAAATTGGTTGACCCACTCTCAAACTCAAACAGTACGTATCCCACTATCATTCGTTTGATGACAAAAATGGGTGTGTCTGACATAAAGGCACCCCTAAATTAAATTCAATTGTTTACCATCACTTTCCCTATCAAAAATGAAAAAAAAAACGTTACGATTTCGGAAAAAAAAACCTGTTCAAACTCTCCCGGCAATCATTTTTCCCACTATCCCAGCAACATACTCATTCATGTAATTAAAGCAATAGTACACCATCCCCAATTTTACAAGAAATGGGTGAATATGGCTGGTAACCATCAAAATCCAGCAAAATATGGCTCATGAATCTTTAATTTTTATGGTGTATGGATGTTTATGGCATTGATTTTCTCTAACCTTCTCCATCTTCCCCATATTTTTCCATATTTTGCCATCTTCCCAGTGGCTTTCCAAAGCTTCCCCGGTTCCAAGGGTTCCAAGGGTTCCAAGTCACGTCTCCAGCAGCTCTCGGATGGCTGTGGCGTTCTGCACCGCCGCGAGCTCGTGCAACGACCACCGCGCCACACGCAACGGCGGACGCCGCGGAGACGCCGCAGAGCTGGCGTCGTATGGCGACTCGGATCCTGGGGCCAACTTGACAGCCTAAAGAAACTATGAAAATATCATCTGGGAGATATATCAATATATATATATGTATTATATTTGGAAATATATATAGATAGATAGATAGATAGATAGATAGATATGCCATTAAATGGGATTTTCACTGTATATAGTACTATCATGTACTATAGTTAATGGACTTTATAAAACATCAATGGTTAGCATCTGGTAATCAAACATGGGTGGAACAATTCCATGCAGAACTGGAAGGCAATGACTTGGGATATGACTTGACCAAGGCTGCGTTTTTACAAGCCGCGAAATCCAGATCGCATCTGATAATCCGCCGTAAATCCCATGAAACTGGAACATGAGCTTGGATGGAACGTGATGTCCATGGAGGAAAATCTGAGCTGGCTCAATGCTCAAGTCATTACATTTTTACCTCCCCTCTGATTAACTCAATGATCGTGGCCAACCTTTGATACCCAGCATCTCTAGACAGGCTGCATTATATTCCTCCCAAAAAAGGTCATGCCCCAACCCAAAAAAAATCGGTAGAAGCCTGTCCTGCCAGCCACTCTGGAAACTCAGGCTCCTCTGCTTGGAAATGTCGGGTGTGGCCGCTGAAATTCAACTTGAAAACCTCTGGGAAAGACTCGGAAAAAAGGGGTTTGAAAGACTGTAACGTATGGTTGCATCTTTTTGGGGGTGTCGTGGTTGATTTGTTTTTGTCAAGTTGCTACTAGGGCTTGAGCACTGGAATGGCTGGTTGTGGGATACATTTGCTATTCAAGGATCCATCTTGGAGTTATATTGTGGCTACCGGTGCACATGTTCCAAGAGCTAGGACCACACGGATCACACAACCATCACAAGTCGCCACACAAGACTTCATGCTATGCCCAGCAATTCATAGAAATGCTGGCATGCTCAAGTTACCCTCTGGTTATGTCAAAATAGTTATTGAAAATGGCCCATTTGTTAGTTGATTTACCTATTAAAGATGGTGAATTTCCATAGTTTTTTGTAGGTTTACCAGAGGGTAGTAATGAATCTGATCAACTCTTCCAAGTGGATCCAAGTGGTATCATAGCCGCATATGACCAGCCTCCCCATTCAAACTGCGCAATTGCGCGCCATCCAAAAATGCGACCACTTCCAGCACTTCCAGAATCTTCTGCAACCAATCCAGTGACCATGCAATATAATGGGTTGTATGCCTGTCAAACTTGAGGACCAGGACAGAGATCCGTCAAGAAAGTACCAGGACCTTTTGCTTTGGCTGATGTACGTTCTTTTTCATTCTTTTTCACCTTATCTGATACCTTATCTTAGAACTTTTGCGCCCCTGGAAAAATGGCCGACTTTCACAGGACTTCTCGTGAGTAAGTACGTTTTGAAGGAGGCTGACAATCCGATCGGCTCAACAAGCCACTGTTGTGCCAGTCCGGAGAAGATGATCAACCTCAAGCACTGCGGTGGTTAGCCGATTTTTTTTCATCATCTCATGAACTAGTCCTTTGGGGATCATGTTAAAAAATCATCCCAATGTTTTTTTTCCATATAATAAACTTAATAAACCCCAATTGGGGATGGTTGAGGTCTCAAGGCTTACCTCGATCTGAAGATCATCGGTTTATGACAGGCCAATCGGGTCCTCTCCCCAAAAAGATATAGAAATGCAAAATCCTACCTGGTTGGTGGTTTTACCTGTCTTGAAAAATATGAGTTCGTCAATGGGAAGGATTATTTAAAACATGTTCCAAACCACCAACCAGCTACTAAGCTAGATAAGTTTGGCCGTTTCTATCTTTTTCGGGGTTACTCTCACCCCAAGTGACCAACCACGATTCTCAGCCCATCGAAGTCCTCTGTCTTCTCCATCTCTTCATGTTGCCCCGATGTGCTACTCTGCGATGATGTGAGGGCTTCAAAGCACCTTCAACCAAGGTCTTTGGAAAGTTGCTTGGGGATGGGGGACATTACCAAAAACTGTTCATTGATGTTGATTGATACAGAAAATATGAGTTTCATATCCTGTTGAACATCAAAATAGCTGGCAGGTGGAGGGTATCCTCCTCATTCATATGCTACCTTTGGTTTGCACAAGCCCCCATGTTTGGTGTGTCTGAACATTTCGGCAAATCCATTCATCCACTGGTTTCACTCACCTCATTTTCACCAACATGAAATTGTCATAGGATGTCATAGGTTGGCGGTTACATGGGCATGCCACATTTTTTGTTGCAAAACCAAATCCAAATGATTCAAGATGTGGCTGATTCAGCTGTGGCGGATTCCACCCATAGAGATGGGGACGGGCCGACATTTGCACCACACCTTCAAATAACAACCAACGGCAAGATTGGTAAGACACCATGTTTTGAGGTTTGCATCTTGTTTTTTGGGGGGTTGCCCTTGTGAAGCTTGTGACAGTGAGGTGTTTAGGGTCTAGGGTTCTAAAAATGTAGGATTTGTTGGACCAGAATCATGGCAGAGGAAAGTCACCAATATATGTGAGCCGCCGTCAAAATCAATTGTTTATGCCTGGTACAAAAATATAAGTTATCGCTCTTTGGGGGGGGCCCTATCGCTTTCCAGTGGTTTGTTCAAATCAACACGAAATTCTGCAAAAATGCAAGGGAATTAGCTTCACGGATTCAGATCTAAACTGCCGGGGATGGATTAAGGGCCTTTCGTTGTCTTTGCGTTTGCAACCATGTTGGGGAGCTATCTAAGCACATTCCTAGACTCTTTCCTAAGCAAGGAAATCTGTTACGATCTCATCTCCGAACTAGAAAGACCGTAGTTGATATAGACCAATGGTTCCAAAAAAGAAGCGTTCGTAGCTATGAAGAAGTGCATTAGGCTCCCCAAGTCTGAATACAACGTGGTGGCCTGGTGTCGAGAACCTGTTCAATTTTTGTTGAGCCCTTCTTCTTCTTGGGATCAAATGAGTCTATCCCTCCTCCGGGGTCCCTTTTTCAACAAAAGGTTATCGCTAGGTTATCGCTAAGGTTATCGCTAAATTGGAACACTTTGACGATCAAGAAAGGAAAGGAAAGAGGAACGTAGAACAAAAAGGACAACTGAAAAAACAGAAGGAGAAAGGAAGGAACAAGAAAAGGAAACAAAGGAAGAAGAAACGACAAATCAAACATGGAATAGATGGAATTCAGAACAAGATTCGTAATCAGAGTTGATTTGGTTCAGAATTCAATTGCGTTTAGTTTTAACTGAAAAAAGAAGGAACAAGAAAAAAAGAAAAAGAAAAGGAAACAAAGGAAGACGCAATTCGAATTAAATCTAAACACACAAAGGGCATTCAGAATTAGATTTCAATCTATTGTTTGCTTAATTCAGAATTTGGTTGCGTTCAATTTGGTTTAATTCTACTGCTTTGGGACCTGGGAAGAAAAAAACAATCTGCCTGCAGAAAGCAATGGCTCAATCACCTTGGACAGCAAATGAAATGGCAACTGCAAGAAACGCGGGCACTGCAGGTTAAATGTTCATCAATTTTGCCCACAGATGGTTACAAGTTATCGCTTTTTGGGAGGGGCCCTATCGCTTTACATGGTTTGGTGCATTTTCTCAACACGATTGGACCCTCCCTTACTAAAGTAATCTACGCTTATTTTGACCGTATCTCATGTATGTTTATTGTACTGCTGGACTGCTGCAAGTGCGTCGTGATGCTACTATCATTTTTCACGCATAGTCGTTCACTGAGGCAGCTGCCCGAAGAATTTGTGGCCTCCGCGTTTGGTGACCAAGCCTGCCATCTCAACCGCCACCTCCAAACGTGCAGTGTCTACCTGCAGGCCTTTCTCGAGCACACAGTGCTTCAGACAACAGGCCGGCTTCGCATGTACCGCGAATCAAGTAGGAGACGCTGTTTTGTCACTCTTTCTGCTCATTCGTCAGGTCATTGCTGTTCAATTACCATCTTTATTTAACATAGCCATGGAAAATCACAAATTTTAATAGGTAAACCATCTATTTTCATGGGCCATCTATACCATGGCTATGTTAAATAATCAGAGGGTATCCATAATTATCCAACATCTCCTGTTGTAGCGCCAGTCATTCCACCAGGCAAAGCTGCAACAAAGAACTCGGCGGCATGCACTCCCGTTGCAGAAGGCAATGTTTGCGACGCTGGAATTCCAAACACCGTTGCTGACATTGACATTAAAACCAAAAATGAAACCACAGGGTCTAAAAGGCATAATTGTCCCCGGTCAGTGATCAACAGCCTGAGTTCTTGGATGTGCATCCCACTTCTGAAAGTCGGGAAGTGGGTGGGTTGTAAAATCATTCGGATATACAGTTGTTTCAATGTTCCCTGGGTTATGATCGCCAGAAATTCGTGCCGCAGCCCCTAGTAATTTATCCCGGTCTATCCCAATTTAGGTTGAATCCCACGATGCTGATAGCGGTGCTGGGGGCAGAACTGGGTGTAGCTTCTTCGCCCGACTGACCATTTTCCGCTGTTTCCCTGTCAAATATGTGAAATCGCAATTTCATCCGTGTATCATGCATTCAAGGACTTCAAGTAGTTATGTGTTTTTCTCTCCTGTTTCAATTCATTCTTTCAGTTTCTCCATGTGGGTTTGTCTGAACATAGGCATGGAAATTGCCATGTGTGCTATGGTCAAGCATAGTATATGTATGTATAATCCCCCTTGCAATTTGGGGGGGGTGCTGGACCCCTCGATTCTGTAGAGGGCCCCAACGTCAGGTACCCTGTGGCCACTCTACTAAATCAATCTCTGCTCTCCAGGGTAGGGATTTACCTTCTACAAAATCAAGAACCTTCCACAGCCCTCATATCTGACAAAATCAAGGGCCTCACATGTGAAGGCATCAAAACAAATCAAAAAATATCACTTGTTGAGTTAAAACCTCAAATGATGATTCTGTAGAGATTTGTGTTAGAGTCGACTCTGTAGAGATTTTTTGTTGGTCTTTGATTTTGTAGCATGACATTTTACAAGTTTTACAAGTCAGTCAAAGATGTCCAAAATGGCCAGCCTTTGATTTTGTAGCATGAATTCCTTTACAAGATTTTACAAGTCAGTCCAAGATGTCCAAAATGGCCAGTCTTTGATTTTGTAGCATGAGTTCCTTTACAAGATTTTACAAGTCAGTCCAAGATGTCCAAAACGGCCAGTCTTTGATTTTGTAG